AAAGTCCTCACCGATTTGGTTCTTAGCACTTCCTGCTTTGTATTGTATTATTCTGTTTGATAATAAATAAACCATTATTAAATTAAAGTTAGGGTCTAGAGTTAGTGTTGTACTCATCAGGTTGACATTATTATTTGTTTTGTATGAGGAATCCTAGTCCCTCTCTATATGAATTAAATCTAATACAATCATTAAAAAATTTAACTTCTTTGAAAGCACAATTGATTAGTAGTTTTCTGCTATTGTATTATTTGGATTAAATTCCATATCTAGAAAGTAATAATGCTAGTGGCTGAAGTGGCGACGTCATCTATGGCATTTGCTCAGATTTTCTTCTCTCTTTTGACTCGTAAACACTTTCTCTGATCTTGATTTTTAGGCCAGCAACGAAAGATCAGTAAGGAGAGGTCAAAAACTCCAAAACTGCTCTAAGCAGTATAACCATCGAAATTCGACATCACAGAAATAGCACCCAGAGTTTATCCATCGGGAAACTTTGGGTGGGCTGTGAAAATTGCGCTTTCCGAGGTTAGTTCGAGTTCAAACCTTTATATCAACAATACTTTCCCACTAATTTTGATATTCAAGAGGCGTGAGTTTTTGTTGCAACGGCAAAAATATTTCTCAAATAATTTACGGAATGTTGCCAAGTTAACAGTCCTTGGCCATATACCATATCGTGTAAAACCAGTTCTAAAAACTGACAGTCGTAGGAATTGCTATTGTTATTGTGTTATTTTTATAGAAAATGTTAACACACTGTGCACTTTCGAATATCTACAGTTGCCGTAAAGCAACTAACAAAGTAACAACAACAATTGCACGTAATGACTTATGCAAAAACCGAAATCGCAAATTATTTCTTTGGTCGGTTTTGAGCAAAAGGCAGCCGGAAAGTCCGACAGGAAATCCAAGCTGCGACGGCGACGGTGGTGTCCAGGCCAGCACGTAAGCAAAGCAGTGAAATGCAGACAATACAAGTAGCATCCAACTAGCTGCGCATGTGGCAAGGAGAGTGTGAAGGCAAGAATGGAAAAAGAATCACATCAAAATAAAAAGGGTAATCATTTTATCTTGCATTCAGATCACACACACGTCGCTTTTTGTTAGCTGACCACCGCGCCCGTCCACATTTGATGCCTTTGTTGCATGCAACGGTGCGACACATAAACAGCTTTGCATGAAGCATGGGTCCACTGCTGTGCTCGGCTTGCTACTTGTCGTGCGGATGTGTGCACACCTCGCTCGTATTTGATTTAGTTTCGCTGTTTTTTTGTTGTTGTCGCTACATTTTTAGCTTGTTGTACTTCAAAAAGATTTCGACACTCCTTGCGGAGTCAGTCAGCAGCGCCACGCGTTGACGGAGTGGTGAGGCTGGAAACAAGTGTGGCAAGTGGTTCGAACAAGCTCATCTAAATCCATATTCAAACTCACATCAGCAGCCACACATACATATGTGATCGTAATATCGCTCGTTATTCACAGTTGCGGTGGTCATTGTAAAGCGTACTATTTTTATTGTTGCAATAAACAATACATACGTACATACTTGTATTTACTCATATATACGTGTTTTTAATATTTTTGATTGTTGTTCATGTGAGTTTATAAAGCACAATGAAGTGCAACTGCTGACCGAATCGCTGTTGGTTCGTAAAGTGCATTGTTGTTGTTATTGTTGCTATTTGTCGAAGTGCCAAGTGTGAAAAGTTTTTGCATTCGCCATTTTGCTGACTTTTCTTTGTCCGACTATATCACTTTCCTTTAACGGCAAACGTGAAGAATGACTTTTGAAAATGAGAGAACTCTTTAAATAGTTACTTATGTGTATGCTTTCCATTCACTTATATATTTTACATTTTATTAAGAAAATTATGTTATTGAAATAAAAATCCGTAATAATATCAAATATAATCTAGTAATAATTATTATGAACTTACCATCTGATCCGAACCACACCAACTAGGGCACTGAATGTCTTGCAGCATATAGCACCGGTAGATATAGCCGAAGGCAAATAGCCGCGAAAGCTTTCCACAGACTCAGAGAATCTGGATACTTAGATAACTGCGAGCCTGAGTACTCTGACTGTCGCTTCTCTGCTCATATTCCTCCGAGGGTGGCATGGCAGAGAAGGACTCACTGGAGGAGAGGGGCGGTGCGCTTTTTCACGGATGGATCAAAGCTTGCGGGGAGTGTAGGTGAAGAAATATACTGTGGGGAGCTTTCCATCAGCTCTAGTTTTAGGCTTCCTGACCAGGTAGTAGTAGATCACCTGCGCCGAAGTGCGGCCTCCTTTAGACTTGTCTGGGTGCTTGGCCACAGTGGTATTGCAAGATATTGTAAGGCTGATGAGCTCGCTAGGACAGGTACTTTAGTCTCAATAACTGTGGAATGTGGACAGGTAGGAGCTCCGTTGGCTTCTTCTGTTGAGCCTCAGACCAGCTCAGCAAGCCTTAGTCAACTATCAGCAGCTGTACAGCCGCAAGGTCCTTCTGGATCAGAGTAAATCTTAAGATATCTAGGGAACTTTTCGCTCTCAACAAGGGCCACCTTTCAATAGTTGTTGGATCTCTAACTGGACACAGTACGATCGGGATTCATGCAGTAAGATTGAATATCTTAGCGGATGTCAGCTACATCAGCTGCTGAGATTAGATAGAATCATCTCAACGCTTCCACTTCGAAAGGTCCGCTTTTGCCAAATGAAAGCAAAAACACTTCGAATCTCATACTTTTAGACACCCAAGTAAAATAGCGCAAAAAATAATAAAACACCTAAGCAGATTTGTGATAGTTTCAGGACGTTTTTGCCGTTAGCTGAAATCCAACTACAGAAGTTTTATTCGTATGGCTTCACAAAGAACTGTACATAACAGTCTAAGTGTGGTCCTCTACCATGACTGGTCCACATAGACTTCGCGCACAAACCGAATCGGTAAACCAGCCTCAACTGGTGTTTGAAAAATTGGACTTATCATTTTTATGCTTCTATTGGCCATGGAACTTAATTTGAAGGCGATAATATAGATTTGTATTAAAATACGTTAAAGTTGTTTAGTTAATGGTATATATCCGAGCATATCCATATAATATATAGCTCTGGGAAAATACTTCACTGCAATTCCAATTGGTGGAAGAAGTGAAGGCGACCAGGAAACAAAGAAAAAGAAATGTCGAAATTTAATGGTATTTGCCCATCTCACAGGCGTTATAAATTAATTATGAAATTAAATAAGTTCAAACTAACCAAAAGCACACACAAGAATAGAATGTTCTATGTTAGTATGTTTCTTCTGTAAACACAACATTAAAATTAAAGTTTTGGTAAGAGGACCTACAATTTATACTCGAGAATTAAATAATTGTATAAGCAATACTCTCAAGTTCATTTTTGTAACTATATAAATATATCGCTCTTGTACCACCCTGTGTAGTACTTTGTGAACCATAAAATAAAACTCCTGTACCTGATCTTATAAGTCAATAAAGCACAGTCGGGTTAATTTGATTCTGCTTATTCTTTTAATTTCTACTCTACACAACTCAGTGGAATATCTGAAAGTGTGAGCTTCTAAGTGTTTAAACATGGATCCGCAAAGACGGGACAATAAAGAAGGAAATGTTGAGATGTTTCTAACTTGTCGTCTTTCAAGAAATTCTACAGCTGGCGTCGAGTAAGATTCTCAAACTTACAGCGTAGACGCCGATAGAGCAATGACCAGTTAGAACCCCTAGAACTAGCGAGAAGCTAGTCTTACTTAGGGCAAAGGTAGCCGATGGTAGCCCAGCGCAGTTTAAGCTACTGCGAAGACTAACTAACCAGTAACAGAACGCATGAATAAATCGGAGCACTGACCTCTTTTCATTCTACTGACAGCTGAGCTTGAGTGCCTTTTATTACCAGCTCGTCAGGGTTTGCACATTATTTGATCAAACTATAAAACGAAAAACCTTCCAAGAACTCTCTTTAAATAATATGGGAAAACATTTGTCAAATAATTTAAATTATCGAAAATGTACAATTATTTACAGTCTAAAAGTTAAGTTTGCCACGAAGTTTGTAACACCCAAAAGGAAACGTTTTTTTTTATTTTTTTAAGGATGCAGCTCATTTGTTGAAACCGCCGATATTGGATCACTATAGCATATAGCAGCCATACAAACTGAACGATCGAAATGAAGTGCTTGTATGGAAAGCTTTTTCATTTGACGAGATATTTTCAAAAAATTTTACACGCTTATTGTTTAAGACAATTGTGCACTATCCGAAAAAATGCTTTAGATCGGTTTGCTATAGCATACAGCTGTCATAAAAACTGACCGATCGAACTCAAGTCCTTGATTGGATTACTTTTTATTTGCAAAGTATCTTTCCGAAATTTGACATAGATCATTATTCAATGTATTACTACAATATCCGAAGAAATTGTTCAGATCAGATCGCTATATCATATAGTTGCCATATAAACTCACCGATCAAAATCAAGATAAATATTTTTTATACTCCTTTATGTTATATATACATATGTGTATATATGAATATGCGCAACGCTTTCAGGTTAAATGATCCATTCGTTTGGCCAAAACTGTATGTTCACAATGCCACTTGTCTTTAAGCCTTGTCATATACATACAAACTTTGGGTGAATCAACATCAAAAACTAAAATTTTATTGGTTGTACACTCATGTTAGACACCATAAAAGTTGAATACAAATCAAGGGTGAGGTTTAGCTTAAAGGTATATTTATGAAAAATTTATATAATCATAACGCTGCTCGAATAAATTACATTTTCCCTGATAGACTACCGCTACACGCACTCCATCACCTATGAACGAGACTGACCACAACTCTTTAGACTCTTTATGGCTTGGATGTGTGCGAGAGCGCGTAGTTTATAACCCAATCATTGCAAGACCAGCGCAGATGCTCCTCAAGATTTCCATACATTTTCTATTTCCTATTATACTTGTTTGTATATATATACATATATATATTTTTTATAAAATAAAAACGCTATGAAAGATGTTCTGTCAATAAAAACCGAAATTGCCAACGTTGCACGTTTATCTTTTGTGTGAAAAGGCAGCCAAAGGGCAACAGCCACACGGGGACGGCATTCAAGCAAATGCTTGCCACATACAGCAACAATGTGTGCGATTTGTGGCTTTGTGTGTGCCACCGGAAAGGAAGGTGAAACCGAATAAAATCCAACCGCAAAATTGTGGAAGAATCTCTGTGAGTATTTTATTTTATTTATGACGATTGCGTCGAGGTTGCATATGTCCAGACCAATAATTTTTTATAAATTACAAGCTTTAAGGAATATATTGATTGCGCTCGTCGCAGTTCGAGGAGTGTGGGAGAGGCAGAAATGGATGGGCGTGCCATAAATCTGAAGACAGGCGGCGACGAAAAAGAGCAACGAAAGGGTTGTGCCAACGTCACACGCACACATATGCATTGCCATAACTCCAAGTGTAAGTGTGTGTGTGTGTGAAAAGTCAGCGAGTATTAGAGCGAGGCATAGTGCATGTGTGTGCGAGGTACAAAAGACACATTTTGTGGTCAATGAAGGAAATATGATTTGGATTTCGCCAGCCATTGATTACATTAGCAGTACGGCACATACACACACACACACACACAGTGATCAATGTTTAAGTATTAGTGTACATACCCGCAACCACCTTCGAGTATGTGGGGCAGTTTGGCATAACAGCACAAAGCATTGATGGCCTGGCACAGAGGAAATTGAGTTTTCGTGCCACAAAGCGAAGGTATGGGCGAACAGTTTCATATCGACATACATTAAGTACAATTGAGCATGTATGCATGAATGTAGTATATATTTTTGGTATGAAAATTGCGCTTGAGGCGTAAGCTATAATGAAATGCAAGATTTAGTGCGGGCGCTGAAGCGTACAGTTACGCAATAGCCAGAAAAGATGAATGCAATAAAATAAATTTAATTTTGCGGGGTCAACATTCTAGGCAGTTGTGAGTAATCGATAAATTTAAATTGTTAAGACGACAAAAGCGAGCATTTAAAAAAGTGCCAAAGAAAACGAGATGCACAGTTCAATAGCCGCCGCATGCTACGCTCGCCGCCAGCGGTTCATTTATCAGCATCACCTTAACCACTGTGGCAAGTGACAGCTGAGCAGACAGGCAAACAAGCAACGCCTCAGCGCTTATCCCGATCGAAAATCAAATTAACCGCTAGCTGCAACGCAATAACTGTACTCACACACACACATACATATACATACATATTTAGCTACTTAAATGGCGTACAACAAAAATCGCTGTCGTCTGCCGCTAATGTCACTGCATTTGGCTGCCACAATGCCACAAACGCTTTCGGGCGTCTCCTCTTCCTCGCTTGCCATCAGTCAGTCAGTGTCTCGTCAATATTGTGTCATCAATCATTTATTCTCAACATAATGCCATCGCACACACATGTGCACCAAGTGGCATGGATTCACCAAAAACAAACTCGCTTTGTAAACATGTCAAAGGAACAAAATATCGTTTAGCCTAAAACGTCAAAATCACCGCTACTGTCAAGCGTAAAAATACTAACAACAACAGCAACAATAACTATTTGCTTAAGCTTACCATTACACTAAGCATGTCGCATATATGCTACACACATACATACATACATATTTGTTGGCATTTAAGTCAAGTGCAGACGAAAAAATTAAACACACTTCGGTCCGCGGTCTTCAGTCTTCGTAACTAAATACTTGTGTACACCTAACGGTCCATTACTGGCTTCGTGGACAGTGCGTGTACTTTGCGCTATTGTTTTTGTAGTTGTTGTGATTTTCATGTTAGTAAATTACCTTTCGCCGCATATCGATTACAGTCAGCTCTCTTTGGCTTAACTCTCTTCGTCCACGTGAACGGACTTTTCTCAGGGGCGGTTATATCATAACTATTCTCCCCACGCTTGCTACTTAAACATTTAAAGTTAGAAAAAAAAATTGTTTCTATGTTATCTTCTTGTGCTTTTTACTTTGTTTACTGTTTGTAAGCGCTTCACTTTCTATATAGTTATCCGTTATTTTGTAAATCTTAAAGGTTTCAAGTCACCTCCAAACTGTTGTTGGGTTTGTGAAAGCTTTGTGAGGATAGGAGGTACTCTTGCAAAAACTCAAACTATTTCTAAATCCTTACTTTAATTTTTATTTAATAATAATACTTGAGATCAAAGAAATTTATATGATTGCGAGTATATTCTGGTAATCTTTAGTAGACTTATGCGTCATCTTCGGATTTTAGGTTACTTAGGTAGCTGATTCTATGTGCTTCCAAAAACTCCTAGATATGGACCGATCAGAGCTTTATAGATCGAAGAAGTATTTTGAATTTTATCTACAGAGATGTTTATACTTCCGTCTCGCAAAAGCTGTACAGTTGAAAAAAAAACGCCCAGTTGATTTGAAATTTAAAATTTATTTTTGCATATGGAACACTTTTAGTAATTTTAAAAACATAATTGTTCAAATTAAAATTCCATTCCATCCAAAATTGACTTTGGACTCAATTGGAAAACATTTGTGATTTTGTTCTGTTTTATTGTACATGAATGGCTTTCATACTGACAAATGGGTTAAGTGCACCCTTTAATAAACTCAACATTAGGCACAATAGTCTAATGTTGTCACAAGAAAATATATATAAAGATTAATTCCAGCAATCGTCCAAAGAAAGTCAATATTTCCTCTACGCTTTAAGAGCATGGCTTGACCGTCTTAATGTATATTATAATATTAAGGGATTATCTGAATTTATAGGCAGACAATGTTAAATCGAATTGAAGGTGCGGCCCAATAACCGTTTATCAAAAATCGACGTGCTAAATCAAACTGATAAGAAATTCTTCACACAAAAGAACAGTTAAATTGAAGAAGCTTTGAATTATGTCGATGGACAAAACGCTTTTCAATTCATTGCACACACTTGTGGCAGAAGCAAGGAAAGGAGACGAAAGCATAAAAAAATTACAAAACCGGAAAGAGAAAGAGAAAATAACCTTAGCAAATGCACAATAAGCGACAAATTTATGGCTCAACATTAACAAAGTCTTTACGATTATTGTCACACCTGAAACCCTGAGTGTACAGACACCGCCGAGACAAACGAACGCAGTTACTCGTAACTCAATCAAGTCATTCGATGGAAAATCGTTGGTATTCGCAGGCACGATTACAACAAATCCAATAAACTTCAATTGAGCGGCGCGCACACACACGTAAACGTTGGACGAACGATGATTGAGCCCGGCTCACAATGTTCGACCAGCGAGAATTGAACCCAATAACAGTGAAACACATGAAAATTACAATTTATTGGGCTTTTCCTGCCACTGCATGTGTGTTTGTGTGTGGGTGTGTGTGTGAAAAGTGGCTGTCTAAGTAACTACCTACAAACACACACAAATGCGCATATTGGGAGCGGGGGTATGGCGGAAAAGTGCACATTGTTAGCTGCGGAGATTTATTGCCTAATAATAAAGGGATTGGGACACTTTCGGCATAATTTATAGCACTCTTTTAGTTGGCTGTAAAAAACGAGTGGCCTGGGCGTAGCGGAGGAACGCCGTATAGGCAGAAACACGGTCCACCGGTACAGGACATCGAATGGGTGAGCGTTTGTTCGTGTGTGGCACGAAGGCTGTGTGGCAATTTGACCGTAATGATTAAAGTTAATACCTGAGAAATTAAGGTTAAGTGGAGGGAGTGCAGCTGGGGGAGAGCAGCAGAGAAACTTACCGTACTAATGCAACATGTTAAGAGTGTACCAGCATGGTTCGCTAGTTCACTACGCCACCCATTTCGAAGTTTTAGTTTGTTGACTTAGGCCGTCAGGTGGAAAGCTTTTATTTTTACTAACGAGACTGTTTTCTGTTTGCCAACCATTCAGTAGTCATTTGCATATTTCTAAACAAATCAACAAAATTGCAAAATTAAATTACACACTGAGTTGTTGATTTGAGGGTTTTCTGACAGTTCCAAACATTTTACAACATTACAAATTATTTGCATATTCATTGCGTAAAACTATCGTCTAAAACTGGGCACCGCTGGTTGTTTTGGTAGTTGTGCAGCATTGTTGAGAAAAATATGAAATCAAAAATATTTAATACCAGAGTACAAAGGTAAAGAAGCGGTATTATGAATTTGTCCATGACACTAATATAAAAGAGTAAACATAAAAATCCATTTAACTTCTCTCCAATTGTTTATGTGTTTACGCTGTTATGCTATTAGTAAGCTTTTGTTAAATAAGCCGATCCTTGCTAATAAGGATTCTATTGAGACTTCTACTAAAAACACCGCGGCGCTGTCATCGTTTTTAAACACTCTTGAAGAGTGTCCCAAACCATTTAAGTGAATTTACAATTTGTATAAAAACACTAGACCTCAACCCCGAGTTTATCGATTAACATGAACAACTTGAAAAAATTTAAATATATTTCGATGATTGATTAAATATATTATATGATCCGTTAATGATCAATTTTCGATTTTGAATATCATATCGTAAAAGCAATATTGGTACAAAGTTGTATCCCATTATATTCGTTGGTGTTTGATTTGTTTACGCTTAAGTGGAGAAATGAGAAGAAATTTAAAATTGTGTTATATGGGAAGTAGGCGTGGTTGTAGTACGATTTTATCCATTTTCGCACCGTAATATAAAAATATCAGAACAATGTAACGTACCGAATTTGGTTAAAGTTAGTCGAGCAGGTCTTGAGATATGAGATTTTACCTAAAAGTGGGCGTTGTCACGCCCATCGTCCAATTTTGACACCTGCTCCTACAAAGCCTTGTAGTGCCATCCTGTGTGTATAATTGAATGCTTCTGACGCATTTACTTAGTGAGTTGTCACACTTTTAGTAGTTTTCAACATAACCATGATGTGGAAAGTGGGCGTGGTTTTTATTAAATTTCACTTATTTTCACACTGTCGGAGAGGCTACTAAAAAAATTGTTCTGAGCGAATTTGTTCGATTTTAATTTAACGGTTTGGGAGTTATGTATGTCACACCTCTTAAGGGCGGGACCACGCCTACTTTTTTAAAATATTTCAAACTGCCCCTACCTAATCCGGTTCATTGTGCTAAATAACAGTTTAATATCATATTGTGGAGCTTAGTTATGACACTATTAGTGACATTTGCAAACCAATCTCTTTTTGGGTGCCAACGAACTTGTGTACCAAGTTTCATCGGGATATCTCAGTCAAACGTCTCTTCATCCTGATCATTTACATATACATAACTCTATATCTAACTCGATTAGTTTTAGGCGATACAAACAACCGTTAGACAAACAAAACTGTTATACTCTCTGTTGCAACATGTTGCGAGAGAATAAAAAAGATCCGTTTGTCTTTTAGAGTCAGAAAGAATATTTTTTTAAGACCTTGGAATCTATTCTGGACTCTACCTATAATTCATAAGAGGCCGTTTTTGACAACACCTAGTTTTTATACAATAATTACAACACAACGGCCGAGACAACAATTAACAATGTAAACCAACAAAAAACTCTGAGGAAATCAAAATTCATCAAAACTAATTTCGCCCGTTCCAATGTAATTCGGAGACTCACACATGCACATACACACAAATACTTGACCATATACATCAACACACAATTTCCGTTGAAATTGCAACCAAACATTGCCAGCAAGTGTTCATTGTTGATAAATTACCGCTAAGGGATTAGCATAGCAGCAGCAAGAGCCACAACGTCAACAACTGGCTAACGGTGGCACAACCGTTGCGTGCAACAGAATGAGAACTGCCGCCTTTCGCCATTGGAGTTCACATTTGCACATTTTATTTGTGCCTCGCTCTGTCAAGGTAGTGACGGCCAACAATCGGCCGCAGAACGATCTCGGAGCATCTGCGATTTAGAAAATGTAAATTTGCCACTTTTTTGCTTTGTTGTCGGCATTTATCGGTGGTTGCGGTGCTGATAGCGCCGGTCGCTACAATAGCAACAATTCACAAACTTTTATGCTTCTGTCTGAAGTGTCCCACAACGGTCCTCCGTGGAGCTGCAGTACAGCCAAACTGACCGCACACGACAGCCAACGATAGACTGGCAGTATGATGGACAAGCGCTCAGACAGACGGTCTAAAATTAGTACATACAAACATACATACTTCTGTACATCAGTACATTCCTCACGTATGAATAATTTGTCTATTTGTTTTTTTTTTTCAATATTAGGTGAATAGAAATGCCAACTGAACTAAAGTACCGAATGTAAATACATATGTGTTATTTATATGTTTGTATGCATAAGTAAATATGTAAGTTTATAAACGCGCATAACGGTATGCATTTTTATAGACGTACTACAGTCATAGACATAGACAATTTGACAATTGGCGCTGCTGTCACTCGCTTCGGTGAGTCAATGCCAGTTGAGTGAAGGAGTGACACATGTCAGTTGCAGAAAATCACGCGTGCTACAGTGGAACGAAATGCATCAGCAAATAAATGCTTCGTTGCACATTATGTTACACTATTTTATGTGTCCTTTAATTCTATTTATTGCCAGCGTGAGACTCGTTTCTGGCGATCATTTAATAGCCACGACGCATTCTCAAGCAATGGTGGCAAAAATATGACTATTGTTGAAAGCAAAGTGGTTGTTGAAGTGGCAAAAATAAGCGGTTAATCAGAAGCTTCGTAAATATTTAATTTATTATTGATTAATTATTTGCGTATATGTAGGAATATATTCGATATATGTGTATAAAAAAATATAAAATCTTTTTCTTTTTTGAAGTTCACAAGTGGATATATTTTTTATATAGAGTATCATACACGATATATGCCATCTTCATCACTCATGTAGGCTCATGCAATAAGTATTTTCTTATAACTCATTTTATTAATTTTTCGCGTCAATGTAGTCAGTCTCTTAGCTGAGACAAACTGTAATTTGACCTTTTGTCCTCCATTATACCTTATATAATAAAAACCTGACCTCACCTTTTCTTACATTTTCCGATATGCAATTTTTTGTTGTTTTTTATAAATACTATCTTAGCTGTCGTCGTCAAATTGTCCTTTGGTAGCCTGCCAAATGAGTGGGTTTAAGAGGTTTCAAAATATTTTAAAACTAGAAATTAACCCTATCGCTTTCAAAAATCAGTGCCTCAAAAATAAAGCTGTTCCTTTAAATATCTTCAAACTCAACGAGTTGACTATGCAAAATGATAACTTTAAGTTGAGAATTGTTCGAGAGTGAGCTAATAAACCGCAATCCCTTCGCCGCGCTCCCCTTACTTAATAGCATTTTCTTACCAAATTCGCTCAATAATTTCACCACCACCACGACCACAGTCAGCCACTCCTTTCACACCGCCGCCAGTGTACGAGTGTCAGCAACGCTTCGCTGCCCGATAATAAACATTAGCCGAACATTTTTGTTTGTCATTCGTTTAATTGTTATTATGATTATGATTTCGCTTTTGATTTCGCGCTTTCACGCACACTAACCCACAACATAAACACACCCACATACATTCACATAACGGCGCTAGCGCAAATAGAGAACTTTAAGCGCAAAAGTAAAGCAATTGGAATTTATGTTTGACCATCTTGCTGCTTTACTTTCACACACACACGCACTTTGCGTTGGTGTTGATTTCATGTGCAAACTTTCGTAATGGCCAGTGGCGGTGAGTGAAGCGGCATGAGACACTTATTAATGTTGGTGGCATTGTCATCGCTGACTTCGGTGAAGTTCTTTTTCATGGTTTTAACGGTATTTGTGTTTTGGTTTCTGCTGATTTGCGCATCGCTTTTGATAGCTTCCTTCACACTTTATTTGGACTTGACAGCGTTTGATTGTCGTTGAGCTCGGCCACAGCGGTGGTGGGCTAACGTTTGTAAATATTATATATTTGTTATTGTCTTTGTTCATTTGTTGTTTTTGCATGCCAGTTCTGCTTTACAATCACATTTTATTGCGTTCTTTCTTTATGCCGCTAAATCTGCCTTGTTGTTTTAATGGGTGAATTGTAATGACTTCTCGAAGATAATCCAACCGTAGGAATGAAACCAAAGTGTCGAATACCTAATATTGATTATATTCAGCGAAAGTATTCACTAGCTTCTAAGAAGTATTCACATGAATAAAACGATAAAGCGTGGTGGATAACAATAGATAGTACTCTTAACTTATGGGCTGAAGGCTTAATTAATATACTTTTCTACGAATGATGCCTCAACTTGCTTGTAACAATTTCAAAGAGAAAAAGTTTGGGACAGAAAATTGTTAGCACAACTTAATTTGTACGATGAAGATATAGTTTTTCACTCTATTAAATATCAGTGTTTGTTATTAAGATTGAAAAAATATCACTATTCTGGGAAATTAGTCTAATATATACAAATTAAAAAAAAAAAAAACGTAAATTTCGGTCGCACCGAAGCTATAATACTCTTCACAAATACAAAGGCCCGTTACAAGAACTTCCGAACGTTTAATTTGTATGGCAGCTATATGATATAGTGATCCGATCTGATCAATTTCTGCGGAGAATAGTTTGTTGCTTTAAGCGATAACTCGTGCCTAATTTCGTGAAGATACCTCGTCAAATAAACAAATTTTCCATGCAAGCACTTGATTGATGAGAAAAGGACAGGTGCAAAATTTCAGATCGATAGCTTAAAAACTGAGGGACTAGTTTGTATATATACAGACAGACGGACAGACAGACATGGCTAAATCCACTCAGCTCATCTTATGATCATTTATATATTCATATTATAGGGTCTCCGATGTTTTCTTCTGAGTGTTGCAAAATTCGTGACAAAATAATTATGAGGGTATAAAAAAAGTTAATAAAAACTACAAAAAAATTTTAAACGAGTAGCAAAAGAGTACTGAGCTCAGATAAAATCTCTTTGAGAGTGATTTAAAAACCGGTAGGAACTTAGCGAATTAATCAAGCTTCAATTTGTTTGTTTTTGGTGATTTTAAAGACTTTTACGGCGCTTTTTTAATAATTTCGTAGTGCTAATTGTTAGTCGCCTTTCTACCAACCTCGGTGGAATCTAAAATATGGTAGAGTCTCTAGTAATGGGTAAGATTTTACATATGGCCTAATTGAGATGCATGAAGAGAAAAGCTTTTGAAGAAAGGAACTAACGGTTATTTCTCGAATTTTTATTTCGAATAATGAGGTATGATCACTTTGGAACTCAATTATACAACTTTTTTTCGCGAAAAAAGAAAAAAAAAATATTCCAAAAATATCTGGTTCATTTTGTATGTGAATTCTGTAAATTTTGAACCGAAGAAACTGATTTCGAAATTCTTTGAAATTTTTTGAAATAACTTAATGATAAGTATAATAACGATCTAATTTTCAAAAAACAAAAAAAAAATATGATTATCAAAAACTCAGGCAGTCGGAATATAACGATGAATTTTAATATATATTGATACATTAAGTCGACTTTGTAAAATTAAATAACTAAATGACTAAAGTGCTTCAATAATATTGATTAATACCGCAGTACCGTTAATAATAGAGCAGTATTTAATATTTCCGTGCAGCTGCGCAGGATTTTGTTCTATGAAAAAAGTTTTTATAATACTACATGTATACATATTCACCGATAATAATTGAATTTATAATTTATATTTGAAACACACCCACTTTCTTATCACAAACCCACAGAAAAGCTTTGCTTGAAATAAAAACCGTAATAACCACACAACAACAACAGCTTCTTCATTGGTAAATCTTCAAGGCGTACGGATAAACACGTTCGCAAACTTTCCATAGTTTCTCTTCCAATTTCCGAACCAAATGCGCACAGCTTTGTTCAGAGATAAAGGGGGTATCCTTCGGATTCGCACATCGCAGCTAATTAACGATAATTTATTAAATCAGTAAGCAAGAGAATGTTGCAGCGCGTCTTTATCTGCACTACAGCGCTAGGCGAGGATGACAAAGCCAAAAGAAACAGCGGAAGATGCCAGCAGTGGTGAAAGCTCACAGCCCAGGCGAAAGCAGTGAGATCGCTACTTAGTAATTAAGTACGTATATATATATATATATATTTATAAGTGCGTGTGTGTGTTGTTGATATTATTTTAGCTGTGAAAGCATGAAAACCACACGCAGCAATTATTAATTCAATTATTATAGTGCAAACACCACCTATTCAATGTATTTGTATATGTATGTAGCTGCGCCCTTCAAACTGCTCACTTACAAGTGCAACAACAAATGAAGAAAGCAGCAAAAGAAAGCAATCTATATAGCAAAATCACTAGGAACTTGCTGCTGTAAGTGTGGAGAGCAAGACGTAAAAATAAACAACTCAGAAAAATATTGGAGAACGGAAGTGAAGAGTAAGAGCAAGAAATGGACAGCAAATAGAGTGGAAAACCTAATTAGCAACAGTGGCAGGTTCCGGTGCAGAGTGACCAAGCGCAACAACATCTGACTTGAAGCAGTTTTTGCAATGGAAGAAGAGTTGAATGATAAAATGGCGGTAAATATAATTGGTGAAAACAATTAAAATTATAAGTTGTAATGGAAAATGTCTGCTGAGCTCATTTTTTTCTCTTCGTTGTGTTCAAGCTTGTGTTTTCAAAATATGCAAAAAGCTAAATTTAAAAGAAAATGCTGAATAAAAACGTACAAATCTTAAACTGCAGTTTTAATATTAATATAATTAATTATATAATTAATTAATAAAACTAATAAATTAATATTAAAATACCAGTTTAAGATTTGAGCTTTTTTATTCAATATTTTTGCATTAATTAATTATATTCATATTAAAATAACAGCTTAATTTATATGTGTGTAGATCCGAATTTCGACAGTTTTTTGGCAAAATATAATAAAACGTCTCAATTCTACGTTTGTGGTCATCAAAGAATAAAACAATGACAGCTACTCGTTTCTTTCCCTGAACCTTGGAAAAACCAACGGCTGGTGCTAATCAGTAAGGGAAAAGGTGACCCCAACTTACCATCAGCATACCGTCCACTATGTATGCTTGACACAGCCGGAATACTTTATGAAAGTCTACTTAAACCCAGACTCGAAGCGGCCATCAGCGAAGCCGGAGGACTCTCCCCTAGACAACACGGCTTTAGACCCGGCAAGTCAACTTTAGGAGCTATAAGATGCATTATTGAAAGCGTAGAAGCCGCACAGCGTAGATGCCATAAATACAAAAGAATAGTTTTGCTGGCGACTCTAGACGTCCGAAACGCCTTCAACAGCCCTAGATGGGCTGACATGATCGACGCTCTTGAAAAAAGCTTTAAAATCCCCAACTACCTTAGAGCTGTGGTGCGGCGCTATCTCAGCAATAGATATCTGCTGTACCAAACTAGAGAGGGATCACGGTAGCGATAGCGGTTACGTCAGGAGCTGCACAAGGATCCATTTTAGGTCCAGACTTGTGGAACATCAACTACGACGACATACTAAAAATCGAAATGCCAGACGAATCGTACCTAATTGGCTACGCGGACGACATTGCAGCAGTAATTACAGCCCGAGACACAGATGATGCGCGAAGAAAGCTAAACCAGGTCATGATACGGACACAAACATGGCTTGACTCACACAACCTCCAGCTCGCTACGGAGAAAACAGAACCCCTACTGCTAACAAATATGCACATACCTCTCGAAATAAGTATGCAAACGATTACGGACACTCTAAGAACACAAAAAGCGGTGAACTACCTAGGCGTAAGACTGCGAAAATCACCTCCCAACTCAGCAGACTAATGGCCAATATAGGGGGGCCCAGCCAAGAAAAGAGAAAGCTTATAATGTCCACGACCATCAGCGTCCTTTTATACGGAGCAGAGATTTGGGCAGATGTGTTAAAAAAGGAAAACCGGCGTAAGGTATTGGCTAGAGTTTACCGCACCGCAGCCCTCAGAGTTGCATCAGCTTACCGAACGGTGTCAGGTGACGCAATATTAGTCATAAGCGGAAATGCCTCAATTGACCTTATGGCATACGAAAGGAAAAAGCTGTGGGAGCTAAAGAAAACGTCTGAACACAACAAGAGCACATTAGACCAAATAAAGAAAGATCCAATATCAGCATGGCAACGAAGATGGGAGAATGAGAGTCGCGGCAGATGGACGGCCAGACTTATAAGAGACCTAAACTTATGGACAAGTCGTAAATTCGGAGAAGTCGACTTCGACGATGCGACTGAAGACGACGCTGAACACACATTCTTTAAATGTGAGCGGTGGCAAAGGGAACGTACCGCCGTAGAAGACCTGGTCGGTCCAATAAGCGCAAACAACTTAATCAGCGTCATGATGGAGAGCGAAGCTAACTGGTCTATTATCCAGAAATTCGCAGAAACTTTGCTACGCAGCAAAAAAGCGGGACCTGGACGCGAGGTGCGTAGATGTAAATCTCTCAATGAGGAAAATGGAACGCCACCCTGAAGTAATGCAAACGCGGTTCCAGGGTGGGCGACGGTTCCCTAGAGGGGGAGTTTTTCGTGACCTGCAAGTGGCACATACCGTTGCTGTGACGACAGCACTGATGATGCGGAAGGCATTTTCCACCCCCTCACCCGCAAAAAAAAAAAACAAAAAAACTCGTTTCTTTTAAATGTCATTATCGTTTGAAATAAGCCAAAAAAGAAAAAATTATAAAATGAATATATATATATAAATGCAATATAAACAAATTATATTTAACGAGTTAAAAAAACAAATCACAAATTAAAAATTTTGGGTTTTTAATACCATAGAGACATATTTAAAGAATAGTCATGCCAAGTTTCAAGTTTTGACTGATTATAATTTAAGATATCGTACGACAAAAATACTTTCGCATGTAATGTTTAACGTCCCGGCAACATAGGCTAGTTGAGACGACTATAACGGTTTGGAAAATAATTTGAAATTAAACAAAAAAAAAAAATTTTTTTCTATTTCTAGACAAGCAAACCTTCTTTAAGGTTACGCATTTTTCTTGATGCCAAATATACTTTTTTATCCGATTCTTTTCAGAGTGTTAAATGTTAATTGACAGCTTACAGACGTTGGTCTTCAACCTATCTTAGCTTCTGAGAGTGTTAATTCTGGACTTATGGCGAAATTCTCCGCATTTCAAGTAATTCTATGAAAATACTTTTCATCTCCAACTGAACAATATTATTTGTTAGTTCCCTGACTTGTGCGGCTTAAAGTGTTCGTAGTACTGGTGGTACTTATGTAAGCTTTACCTGGACTCTACATGGATATGTCTGTCATATTCACAAGTACCTTCCTTGCGTGAGCATTCAATCCTGCGAAACCCCCGAACACGTTATTCGATCGAAATCACCTTTCTCTGCTGAGTTTGTGAGTGCTCTGTCATGTTCAGCTGCCTTCAGTGTGTTTGTGTGTGGGTAAATTAGTTTGTAATCGCATTGGCCGAGTGAATGTCATTTAGCCTAACTCGTTTATGTGCGCCACAATTCATAACATAAGCATAATTTTAGTATTTTGCAATGTTGCATGCCACAAACGAGCACTGTGCGGCAGAGCACATTTGAAATGGACAAATTGTGTATTGTGAAGTGACGCAATTACACGCATACCCTTAAATCTATATATAACTCAAACCAAATACTACCTACATACATTTATAAATATGTATGTATGTATGTGTGTATGGTATATGCATAATGCAGGTCCACTAGACTATGTTTGCGATATTTGTCGTTTTTGTTGCTATGGCAAATCAGCAAGTTGATGCAATTGTAACATTGTTGTGGTTGTTGTTGTTTTCGTAGCTAGATGCATTTGCAGCATTAAGCTTGACCAACAATCCAACTTGGTCCAGTGCCGTACACCCACCCAAGCCACACTCATTATATTCCCTGCTCGTGCTCTATTACGCCCCTCCTTTGCTCTGAGAGCACATACACACACACACACTCAGGCATTGGGATAAATGCCAACTCGTTCACGTTTAAATCAATTTATGTTGTGATATCGAAGTTATTGATGCTGATAATGTTGATTGCGTCGCTCGCAAAATTCTAACAAATCAATTTTGTTCATTGTGCGCACACAAACGCCCTCACATGTGCATGTGCGCCTGTGTGTGTGCGGGCGCAAGCAATTGTGTTTCAGCAACTGACCTTCAACATTTTGCAAACACACACACATACCAATACGCATACACACAATCGATTGGCTTCGTTCGTACAGTTCGAGTGGGTTTGGTATTAATTTCCAATTCGCTCTTTGCTTGCACGACTACATTTGTTGTAATTGCAAAATAATTGGTCAATTGAAAATTGAGGTTGCTCCCGTGTCCTTTGCCAGCTGCCAGCTTAGAATTGGCGAACGACATTTTGATTTATGGCTTCAGGTGACCGATGCCAGCAAGTGTTGGAGTGTCGAATAACGGGTTGAATATGTTGAGCTTTGATGCTGAATATAGAATTTAAGCATATATATTTTTTATAGTATAGAACGCAATAAGACAAACTTCTTCAAGCACAATATATTTATTTTATGTAATATCCCCACTCACCTTGGCGAATTTCTACATCGCACTTCTGCATATTCTGCGTCCAATCACGAATTTTCGTTTCAAAAGTTTCAAACAAATTTCTCTATATACCACAAAATCGCTTAATTTGTTTATTTCCCTCCTTATAAACTTGATATGGAAGATAGTTTAGCACGACGAAAGCTCGGTGAGCAAGCCGAATGAATATTTTTTTAAGTTCTGTTCTAGTTAATTGCAATTATACCGTTTCATCAGCTAAACTACCAGATTTCTGCTTTTGTTCTCTTTCAGAACGCTTCACAACTGTAGTCAGAACTTGAGTAATTCAGATTCTATATATGCTCTTTATTCCAACTCTCGAATCTCCAGAGTTATAATAGAGTTTGTTTGAGCCAACCTCATTGACTTTAGCTATAGTTTTATATGAAGAATTGGTGTGGATAAATCGTCAGATTATTGTTGAGAACTAAGGCATTTGTAATGAAGAACAACACTGCTCTTACACGTTCACAAATTTAGAACTACTTTTATGGCGATTTCATCTAACGAAACAAAATGAAAAATACGAGAGCACAAAACACAATTCTACTCATACATATTTGTTTAACGCGTGAGTTTGGCTTAAAAAAGTTTTTATATATTATCTTTTGCATATGTCCAAGTTCCTTCGAAAACTCTTATTTTCTTCTTTTTTTTGCAATGTATGTTTTCGGTAATTTGATAACTCGTACAACTTATATAGGGTGATTCATTTCGAGCTTCCCTACTTTTTTAAAGAAAATTCAAAATCAATGGGTAAAGTTTATTATCATTCGAAGGAACATTCTTTCTCATTCTTATTTTGTTTTTTTTAAGGATTTTCTCTTTCAAATGTTGGCTGCAGCTACGTCTCGTTCGAGCATTTCCATTGGAAGCGCGAATGACACGCGTGGTGTTTTACTCCAAGGCCTGAATCGAAGCGAGGTTGACCGCATATACTTTAGATTTTAAAAGAAAAAAAGGCTAACGGTTCACACGATCTTGGTGGCCAATCGACCGGCCCAAAACGTGAAATTATCTGCTGACAGAAATGTTGTCGCAATAAATCCATTGTTTGATGCGATGTGTGGGAGTGATGCCGTCTTATTGAAACCAAATGTCGCCGAGATTACGGGCTTCAATTTCAGACATCAAATAGTCGGTTATGATCGCGCGATAACGGACGCCACTGATCATTACGTTCTCACCGGCATCGTTTTTGAAGAAATATGAACCGCTGTGTACACCGGCCCACAAATCATTTTGCTTGCTTACATATCCATTGAGCCAGAAATGGGCCTCATTGCTGAACAAAATTTGGCGCGAAAACGTCGAATCTTCTTGGACCTTTTCAAGAGCCCATAGAGTAAAGCGATATCGCAATTCTTGCAAAAGCTGTGTGTACGCTTTCAATTTAAGACCTTGACGGAAAATGCGCCAAGGCTTTCCATATGTCAGTCCGAGTTGATGCGAACGACGCTGAATCGCCTCTCTACGGTCTTCGTGTACATTCTCAGCTATTGCAGATATATTTTATATATCTATATATTATATCGAATATTATCCAATAATGAATGCTGGATCTCAATATGGGTGATGGTGTTGCGAATGGTACGCTCAGTAGTCCGATTATGTTGACCATAAGTTATGAGAAGCGCGCGAACAACATTCTTTACATTACGGGAATTTTCGTAATAAAGTTGAACGATTTGTAGGCGTTGTTCAAGCGTGAGAGTTTCCATGATAAAATTACAAACAATGCTAAACAAAAATATTGTGACAGCTTGACACGACTCATGCGTGACTTGTCAAAGTAGCTTTATTGAAAAAAAAACTGGATCACCCGTTATAATTGGCATTATAAAAAAATAACCGATTCAGTATCGGATAAAGGTTCCTCCTCCATGTATTGTAGTTTAAATACGAAACATAATATTGTAATACTGCCTCAAAGTTTATGAAGTGTATTTAATGATATTATAAACTAGAATATTTGCTGTCAATCCATATCAAAATAAAAAATAAATAAATGATGGTATTTCCGAAAACACGTTTGCCAGTTTAACCCAAAATTCGCATATGATCAGAATTGATGCACACACTGACAGAAAAATGTTGAGTAATTTTTGAGAAGCATGAGTAGGTAAATTTAAAGACTGTCTAAGTTTCAAAAATCATTTATATGTTAGAATTTTGGTGTCGATTTGGATCAATCGAGTGTTTTTGAAAGTTTATCAGCTGTTTTATTGATTATAGTTTTTTAATTTTCCTTATGTTTTAATTTTTAAAGTTGTTTCAATACAAAGCTTTTCCCTGTAGTGGATAAGAACATCCAATTATTTCAGCCTTCTGGGGCTATATTTACGAGTATATCAATAGATATTTATGTGCTGAAGATATAGTAGCATATTCACACGTATTCAGATACTTATAAGTAAATTACCTAGTGTCAAGTGATGAAATTAATAGAGCTTTTAAGCAATGATTAACACTTTTGAAGTGATTTGAAATCAAGCTATTTAACACGCTCGAAATCGAGCAAATCCTTTGACAATTTTTGAAACACACAAAGACGTTAGATCACACATTTCTCCTTTCATGTCACAAAGTAAGCACGGCGGCAAAAGTGTTCAAGAAGGAAAAACTTTTGAAAGTGTCGTGCAAACACGGTGAAAATCAAAGAAAGCGCACACGAAGCGCTCAGACCAACGCGCTAGAAAAGAGATTCCACTTTTGGTGTCTGACAAGAAGACGACTTCACCACAGAGCAGAAGTGTGTGGATAGTGTGTTGTTGAGAAAGCGTGTGTCGCGTAATTAAGAGGCCTTTGTTTAAATGCTGACAAAAGTGAAATATGGAAAACGATGACAGATAAGAGAGAATTTTCGTTGACACTTGTAAAGGTTGCGCCGAAGTTAAAACGGGTATATCGTAGGCATAAACGTAAGTTTACACACGCTTGTGAATATTTAGTTGCCTGTGTGTGTGTGTGTGTGAGCATTCAAAAGCCGTAGAAGGCAGGCTTGAAGCGCCTTTGCAGCTTTTCAAGTTGCAGAGCAACTACAAAGCCAAGCTATGCAATAGCAAAGTTGGCACTTGTATTTATGGAATATGTTTGTATGTGTGTCGCTTGAGTTCAAAAACATACATTGCGCTCTGCCGTCGAACGCCGTGAGCAATTAACTTGACACATTATGCCCAATTTTCGAATTATTTTACCTCAAGTGTCACGCATGGTGTGGAACAGGAATTAATTTTTGCCATCAAGCGCTTGAATTAATAAGCGAGCTGCGCTGTGGCGGTGGCACTTCAGTTTGTTGTAGTTGATATGGAAGCGGCGTTGTAGGTAGAATGATTTGCTGCCAGAATCACTCACGTCACTTACTCGGCGTATAAACACATAGTTGAATTAGTGGCAGCTGGAAAAATTCCACTAAATTCGGCGTTTAACATTTCCAAAGTAGAGTCTACCGCCTTCAAGCCCCACCGTCGCACGTATTTACACTCTTAATGTGTTTGCGTGCGCTTTGTGGTTGTATCACTTTATTATGTGGCAAGCTTAAGCATGCGAAGCTTCTACGGCAACGAACAAGTGTATATTAACGGTAGTGGCGAGAATGCAAACAAGGCCTAAATACACTACGCTCACACGCATCTGCACTTACTCATCCAAGCACACGTGTGTGAGTGTGTGTGTGTGTGTGCGCTAAAACACTTGTCAACATTGATACCGAAATTAGTTTCATTAACGTGTGGTGCGTGCCTACTAGTTGTTGTTTTACTTGACACCAGCACATATCTTTCCACATATCGAACCTATACATACTCTTACATATGTGAGTGTGTATTGCTTTATAAGGCGGCGTGCGCTCAATTGCTTCTGTTGCATTAATTAAATGCAAATGTGTGCTTGTGTATGTGTGTGTGTGCGCGTGTACTAAGCATTAACTTGTAAGCACTTCTTATGCCTGTTTGTTAGTATATATGCATGTGTGTATGTGTGCTTGAAACTAAATAGTTTACACTTGTTGAAATTCACTGTGAGTTTGTGAGTGTGCTTGTAAGCGAAATTTTAAGTGATTCAGAATCAAATTGGATAATAGCTTGTTAACACACCGCTAAACCTGCTTTCATATGTTATATAATATTTCGGGTGAGTGTTGTTCCCAGCAAACTTAAAATGGTAAGGTGATAGTGGCGGTTGGTTTGAAGTTAATATTTTATTGCAATTAAAAACAAAAAATAATAAATCATACTCATGGTCGGATATTTCTAAAATTGAAATTAAAAAATATTTTCGGACAGGGTACATAATTTTTGAGAGTAAAAAAAACATAGTAGGAAACGGAAAAATTAAATAACAAAAATTAAAGCAAAAATGGGTGATAAGCGGAAATCGGATCTATGTATGAAATACTATGTATATATCTCCCAAACTATTCAAGCTTTATCACCCATATTGCCACAGGACAAATCATATCAACACCTCTTCCGACAGCTTGAAAATAAATGAAATCGGATGATAACCGATAAAATGATTTTTTCAAATAGTGCCTTTGAGGTGTGTCATATTATGACTAAAAATTGTTCCAATCGGGCCATAACTATTCAAGCTCACAGCTATCGGCAATGTGGACGCCAGCGCCTATGGCTGACTTCTTGCCTAAAATATCGGTCACTGTGTGGCATATATTATTGAAATTAAGAGAGAATTCTTTCATGCTAATAATATGTCTGCTTGTCAAAAATGAGTTAAATGCGAGCAATATTTCAATTAACCCCCACTAATAGTAGTATACTAGTACTCCTGTCTCGCATATACCTAATAAAAGATTTTCAAAATTCTTATCAAAGTTAACTGAAGGTATTATATTGGATATATGTATTATAATTTAATGCTGAATTACCCAAACTCCCATATACTGCATATAATGATATGCTACTACTCTAGCAAACCGTATACCGAATATGTCGGTGAGTGTATGTGCTATATATTTATAAAATTGCTAGAAAATATGTTCCGGGGTATAACTGAGCAAAGTTAAAAATTAATGCAAACCGTTCATCCCTCACTCTACCCCCAATATGGTATACCCTATATAGTTATAAAACTTTATCAATTTAATTTAGTATTGAATTCTTTCGCAACATTTTTTAATATGAAGTTTTGCCAACACCTGAAGGTATTTCGCCGGCTGTGATCCTAGCAAGTTGCAAATTATGAAATTGTAACACGCGAACATAGTCCTTCCTTTTTTATTTTAAATATTAAGTAAGAAACCTCTTTTCGACTTAAAAGCGAAAAAAAACCTTAATTTTCAAACATAACATCATATTTTTTTAAAAAGTCAGTAGGCTTTATGTTTGTTAGAACGCTACTTTCTGATGGTATAATTACTATGGTAAATTAGCTAAGAAATTGCTAAGAAAGACTCCACTAAATGAATCGTTTACCTGCTTTTTTACAGCCGCTGGAACGAAATAATAGATAGATGAAATAAAAGCTAATGCCCTCGACTACCACCCGAACCATTGAATATGCAAAGAAATACTGCTGAATCTAAAAAAGGTACTCATAAAAAGTTGTTTGTATTTCCAAACTGTATTTAAACTTTGCAAGAACAAATTCGGAAGTTGTACTAGGTATAAGTTGATAATTTGCTTTACTCCTGCTATATATGCATTCTTAGCTCTCGGGTAAATATATAATATCTTGGTAGGATTTACTACTATTTGTGGATACGATAGCTTAAGGGGTCAAAAGTAAACTTGGTTACATAGAAAACTCGTAAAATAGATTTGTTTAAAAAGGTTGAAATGAAATTACGCTTCAAAATTTTGCTGACTATCAGCTTTTACATCATTGCAAACTAAGAACTGATGCAAAGATTCGGTTTATCGATTTATTTTTTATCAAATTATTAATGCGGGACTACCTCTAAATGCATTTTTGCCTTTATTTTTTATAAGTTACAAAAAATCGAAACAAAATTCCTTGTAGGGAGATTGAAAACGAATGAAAATTTTAGTTATGGGCCTAGAAAAAATCGTATTATAGAAAAAGTTTCTATTAAACAATTCGCTATAAGGAGAACGAAACATGCTGAAATTTGAATGAAGTTATGCAATTAATTATCTACAATATAGTTAAGTTAAAACTTCCTAGTATTTCACGAAATATTTATTGAATCTACTGTTTGCAACACTGACCGAAACTAACCTAGTTCTGGAAATAGTGTATAGAACACCGCACCCAAAGTATATGGAGCAGAGGCCTCTCGACAAATGTGTATTTTAGTCAAAGAATATATAAACTATTTTCCATGTACGCCTACATTTATACTTTTTGAATAAACTATACTTTTACCTACATTGTAGCTCTCATTAACACTTTCCTATCAAGTATCTGAATTTAAAGGTAAAACATATTTTGCCATTTACTACAAAAATTACCGTCGGCACTTTCAATGTGCAACAAATATTTAGCATAGGTGTTCGCATGAAAAGGGTTTGGCCACACATTAATTCGCATTAGGTGTATACACGCAGCTGCGAGGTGCAACAGAGAAAAAATCACCATAAACCATAATGTGGGAGAGAGCAAGCAAACAGTTCCGAGTTATAAACAACCACCGAGCAAACACTTTAGTTGCCTTAACATGCTGTTGTTGTTGTGTTTCCTACGTTTTGTCTCACCTGTGTGTGTTTGTTGCAATAATGTGGCAATAATGATATTAAGGTTTTGCGCTGCGGCCAGCCACAGCCGAGCAGGTTGGAAGAAGCAAACAGGTGTGCGCAATACATCAAAATTTGTGCATTTGTTGTTGTCACAGACACACCTTTAGCGCTGCTAACTAGCAAATGAGAAGTGAGCGCGACGTTGAAAGGCAAATACTCCAATTGTTGGAGCGTAAAATGTGCTATTTTGTTACAGATATTTGTTGTTGTGTTGATTTATGTTATTGCTTGAAATATATGCATAATGTTTGTTATTATTGTTTTTCTTGTTATGCATTGCACCGATATGGCCAAAAACAATACGCAAATGTTCATGTTAAATTTTATAACGGTAACTAGTGATGAACTGCTCAGCTCTTTTACGATGAAGTGCTTATTTGTTATTGTTTATGCTTTCGACATTTGTGAGCGTGTTGTGGATTTTAGCGCAGGCGCATTCGATCGCTTTCCCAAAGGGTGCATCGCTGTAAACTTGGCTGGCTATTTCAAAACAATTTTGAGAAAAATATATCTTGAGAAAAATTAGTTTAAAATATATTTGCGAATTTTCATTTTAGATTATTTTAATTAAATTTTAAATTAGTATTTTTGAGAGCAAGTTTTGTCTATTCTCTTAGCAGAGTTATATCACTGTTAACTATTTTAAATACACATTTTCTGTAGTTAACATTTTACTCCGAATTTAGTATGTTTTTTAACATTTCCGGCAATCTGTTAGTTAACAGCAGACGTTATGCTGTATGGCTGGCGCTAAAGTTTTCACTTTCACTGTCAATAAATACATTACTGTAGCGTTGTACAATATATAATTCTGTAAAAAAATTTATGTTATAAACAAACTCAATGGCACTCACAAATTAATATTTAGCTAAAGTATAGAACCACAATGAACAGGATATGAAGTATGCAAGTTGTAAATTGATCAGTTTAGTATTTTTTTTAAGACGTGTGTGTATAACAGATAATTTTCCTGCTCAGTTGGGTGCCAAAAAAGTAGAGAACCCTGATATATAAACTTCTTAAATTGTCACCGCAGCTCTATTTTCATCAAGTATTTGAGCAATTCCTTACGTTATTAAGGGCGCACACAGTGTGGAAGTCTAAAAAATAAGTAATTTTTGGCAAATAAAAAAAAATTAAAATAACGCATTAACTTCGGTTGCACCGAACCTATTATACCCCTAACAAATACCAAAGGTTCCTAACAACAACTTGGTTTCGATCGTACAGTTTGTATTGCATCTATATGTTTTAGTGGTCCGCTATCGCCGACTCCGACAAATTGCGAAAAAAGGACGTATGCAAAATTTCAGATCGATATCTCAAAAACTGAAAGACTAGTTCGCGTATAAGCAGACAGGCGGACATATTTGCATTTTACTCAAACTACACTTTGTGACATATATTCTAAGGTTCTAAAAAGTCGAATATATAAGTATCGATATAATACACAGCATACAGGCGGTGCTAATTTCTTAAGATTCTCCCCTATCCTCTACCGGAAGCCCCAAAGTAGTGCTTGGCTCAAAGATTATGCTCAGTCAGTTAAAATTCTATTTTATACCTCATTTCCGAGCTACTTCTTTGAATAAATCTTATATACAAAGACGCAGATATTTTTAAAATTATCGTAATATATTCTGTTTTCTGCAGAAATTTAAGTTTAAGAAAGCCCAACAAGCCACTTCTCGATTTGCCACAGATTTGCATAAATACATTTTTATTCTCATTTACCCGCCGTTCTCTGTTTATAAGCCAATAATTTGAAGAGAGGAAGTAAATCAACTTCAAACAAGATTTATCGCCTAAATGTAGGCAATGAAAAGCGAATCAAAACTGGATTAGCATAAGCAAAGGCGGTTTAAAATTGAAAAAAGTGGCCAGATACGCAATTGCCACTCAAAGTTGTAAGTAGCAATAAGGGGAACTGATATATTCCTGACTTAGAAAAATTTCGTTTGCTTTAAGCTTAAATTGCAGCAGAAGAAAATCATTGAATGCTCACTTTCACTTGCTTAGTGGCCGATTTAATGACGCAGCTACTTACCTTTGTTTGTTGCTTACATTCACTTAGCGGATTATGCGCATCACCCACCGCTTGACTGCCGACCTTTCATTTGAAACAACCACTTTCTGCCGCGCCAAACCGCCAGCTCATGCCTTAAGTCAGAAACTACAAATAAATATATGCAGCATCTATAATGTAAACTTCCTTACGGCGACTACAACACTACAATAAGCAACAAAATGAGTTTCTGCACATTCAAACACACACATACACACATACATCTATGTACGTATATGCGTAGACCGATGTTTGTCCAAATATGCGCGCGCCCCAGCAGCCGTTGAAGGAAGTGTACAAGGAAATTCGGCGCCAGTCTGTCGCCTCTGCCGCGTCCAAGTACCAAGAACAACGCTCTTTATGTGCGCACAAGGCATGCCGATGTGTGTGTTTTTGTGTGCGCATTTCTATTAAGCGTTGATGATGTTTCATCTTTTCCAGCTGAAAACTCACGTAGCACCATAATATGTCATCAACGTAAGAGTAGCAAACGCCACATTAAGCAAATAGAATGTCTAAAGGAGCAGCCACACACACACACACACACACACGCACAGCCAGACACCAACATTGATATGTGTGTGCACTTGTGGTGGTTCTCGGTGACTAACGGTGACTTTGGTGTTTTTGTTCAAATAAACATATACTCATGTAGTTCACTGGGTTCACCTTTTGGCCGTCATTTGGAAGCCTTTAAGTGTCTTTGTATATAAATAGTTGTCTAGCTAGTTTAATTGTGGGTGCGCAGCTGTCTGCTTAGAGGACTTTTACATGGCATTCAATGAACCTGCCGCACCTCAAGCCGCCTTGTCCCCCACCTTTTGTGCGACAGTAGTTGACTTGTTGACGTATGTTGCCATAAATCTTGCTGTGTTGCTTGTTGAAGCAATTTTTTTCATTTGTAGCCTTCTTCCTTGCCACCTCCTTCTGTTTATGCCGTGTGCCCTGATGCAGAGTCATCATTTGCAACGCACTATTAATTTCGGGTTATAAATTTATTATTTTATTAACTCAATCAATGCTTATTGCTCATTATTATTGAACTTGGGTAATAAAAATTGTCGCTTAATTGGAAATACATGGAAATGAGTATCTAGATATCCACAAATAGGTACTTATTTTTATAGCGGTACTTCGGTAACTTTAATTTTTGTGATAGAAAAAGGCAATATTCAAAATAATTTTTCAAAATAAATACTTGTAAAATAGATCCGAGAAATTTGGGTTCTGTTTTTTAATCGGATTTTATGAAGCAAACTTTCGTGCTTCAAGCTAGGTAATCGTATCAACATCGGTCGTGATGTCTTCAATGACTTCCTTTTCTTCTAACCAAACATGAAAGAGAGTGATCCAAAATCTTTAAGTTAAGAAATCATGTTCTATAAATATGGTGGAATTGGTACTCGTACGAATACAGAGTGCGCCAACTGTTGTGGCGCTAAGTAAGCATTGAGTAATTTTAACACATATAACGTAGATGGAGTTGATTTAAGCTTATACCAGAATTAGATATTAGACATGTTTAGAAAGGTTTTATTTTAATTCAGTGCAATTCTAACATGAATGGCTATAGAAAATATCAAAGCATCTAAATAGAACCTATTTTCATTGAAAATAGTTGCTATAGAAACACTACCGTGTATGGGGAACATATATTCAGTTTTGACTCCGCCGACTTCTTTTTGCGAGGTTAGGTTAGGTTAAGAGATCGACGCTGAAGAGCATTTCACTTGAACAGCTCACCTTAAGCTCCTAAATGCTGGATCATAACATCCTTACAGACATAATCAATGGCATGACGTTTATATCATTTATTGACCAAGGAACTGTATTCTTGTTAGTTTCTTTTTTAGTACTTTCTTATATAAAAAAATGGTTCTTCCATTTTCAAAATCTATAGAGAAAATGTTTGGCTTCCTCATATAATAATATGAATCTCTGTACTTGTTAACTCTCAGGAAATGAAATGTTAAATAAAATATCTATATAAAAATTAAATGAACTTAAACATAAGGCGAAATAAAAATTATGAAATCTTCTTGTAATCAAACCTAATGCGACACTTTTCTACAAATAGTGCTTTGAACTCAGCTGGCGCTGGCGTAAGCCGACACTCATCAAGCCGCCGCACAAGGCGTCGAATGTCTGTGGAATTTGCATAAACCTTCACGCCAGGCAGCCGACACAGCTCATTAGCATGAGTAATTATGATAAGCGCAGAGCGCTTGCAACACCTACTTACAGCCGCACTTGGCAGGTGCTTTTTAGCAGCCTCAAGCAACAACAGTGATTATGATAACAACAACAACGGAATTTAAGTGAAGTGAAGTTGTACAGGCAGTTGCCACATAATAAATTACCACAAACACGGACACCGACACCCACTTGCTGCAACACCTACTTCAGGCATTGCAAAGTGGATGTGTGTGTGTGTGTGTATGTGTGAGAAACTGGCCTGATTTAGTGACATTGCGACAGAGTGCCGGCACTAATTACCGCACAATTTGTGGTGGCAAATACCTCGGCTCGCTTGATTTGTGAGTCAATTAAAGTCAAACGCAAGCGCCCCACCAGCCCAGCAACAACACGCGCGGCAGTGCTGCTGACAGCGGTGGGCGTGTGCGCCAGTCGAGACGTTTGCCAATGAACTGCTTAAGCCGCCGAGCAGTTAATATGGCAAGGTGTGCTTGTGGTGCGTGCAACAATTGCAATTCAGTGTTTGGGGCTTATGGCAAGTGCAGCATAGCGTATGAGCGACAAACCACACACACACACACGCAACCGACTGCAAGTGACTTGAGTGCTTATAGAGCCATAAGTTTGGATATCTGTGGAGACTTTAGAAGTTTGTGTGTATTTTTCGGTGTGAGTGTGTGTGTGTTTATAGTCTGTGTTGCGTACAATCTCAATGACACACGCGTGCAACTAATTAATTGCACTTAAAGTGCCAATGCAAAAAAAGCCACCCTCTATTTTTTGACCACGCCCATTTCCGTTTGTTATGCTTAAATGCACAGTTATAAGTCCTTGTCAAGTAAACAACTCACAGCACAGTGTTTCAGCACTTTTTCTTACCAATATGCCAAACACCCAACACCCGCCACAGTCATGACTTGAAAATTTTCAGCGACTTCATTCGAAGTCCAACAGGTTAGTGATAGGAGATTGCTGCGCAATAAGTTAACAGTAAGTGGCATATGCCCCTTACACCCACCTCCTTATGGTGCAACCTTATCTCCACCTCTGAAAATGTGCGCGCGCTCACTTAAGCTCCCCTTCCCCGCTCCATGCTCATTTACATACACTTATGTAATCAGCACATTATTGTTGGCTTCCATCGCTTTGGTATGCGCACCTTCGCTGGTGACATTAGAAATCAATTTCCTTTTAATGAAGTTGTCACTTTCTTAAGTTTATTAAGATTAATGAGTGCACGAGCGTGCCAGCGTGTGTGCATGCTTAATGCGTGTGATGACATCACGATTGCCCTCGCAGTTGTTGTTGTTGTTGTGTTAAATTCCCTATGCAAATTGTCTTATGATTACGCGTACGTGTCGTTGTTCGCATCAAGTGACTTTGCAAAGTCATGGCTTCTCATTGTTGTCACTCGCTTGCTGCTCCTTGTCGCCTCACAGCGGCGTGATAAGCGAAATTTCGGTGAGGTATTTTAGTTTTTGGCGCAATCTAATTACTTTAAAATTACGCTTCCAGCTTTCAGCGCTGTGGTGGGGAGCTGAAATTTAGTTTGTTTATTTCGAAGAAGCTGTTGCGATTGGTTTTACTTTTGTCTTCCGGCGTGACTATGATTAATTGGAAATTAATGCTACGGGAATTCTAATTGAAAAATCATGTGATTGAAATTAATAGTTTGTTTGTTGCAAGTTACCATTGGGAAGTGATTTCGACATATTTACTGCCACAGTGATGCAATCTTAGTTTGCTTATAATAATGTGGTTCAAGCAGACTTAAGGGGCACAACACAACACAACAAAAAAAAATCTTTATATTTCGATAGTCTATAGCTTTAAAAAGAAGGTACTACATTTTTAAACGCGTATTTTGTATATTATTTGAGTTACAACCTAGGAAAATATAGCCGCTCAGTTCGATCAGTTCTATCGGTTTATCTTTTAACATGTTTTCTATATAAAAAAAAAAACATTTCTCGAAACATTTCGACATTTTCAGTAAATGCAGCGATTAATCGGAAACAAATAATCCAATCACTATAAATTTTTTGTTCTGTATATATCTATATATTGTATATAGTTTTCCATCAACTGACGCAACAGTTTGTTGAACTGCTCAAGTAAATCAAAACGACCAAAATTTTGGTTAAAATTTATTTTAATTTAATTTTGGTTATTTTCTTAAACGCCGGCTTTTCCTAAATTTTTGACTATTTTTCAACCGTTAGTTATTGTACCGACAGTATCTTCTAATTAGAACTTTTGTTGAGGTTTCGTCCACGGAGCAAGCCGGAATCATTACAACAGTATAGGACCTTAGTGTCGCAGCGTCGGATATCGCATGTAACTACAATAGAAAAAAATAAAATATAATAAAATAATATAATAATAATAAATATACGCTTAAAAATGTAAAGCAATTGATACAGTAGTGTTTTCTTTAAGCTTCCAAACATCGCCTTTTTTAGGCTGTCAAACTTGGTGTATACCTAATGAGATTCCACTATTTGAGCGCGGTATCATAGAGTTCATTTTAGCCATAGCATGATTCTATTAGTAATTTTAATATATCCTTGCACATTACCCAGCATTAGCAAGGTTTAGAACTTAGCATACTGATAGCAAATTCTTCGATCTTGAATCTGCATGCTTAGAATAGCTTTCTTAATGGAATTCATAAATTATCCTTCCTAAGAATTAGAGATATCCACAAAGCTTAGAAACGATTTCCAAATTGTGAAAGAAGGCAGTTAGGAACACTTTTGGCTTTTTTATTGCCAGAAGTAAATTCTTCTATAATCAGTGTAAAACAGCGGCTAGTAATATCATTTTACTTTTTATTTCTTTATATCGTGAGAGCATAACTATAATGGCTTTGTAGCATTCACCATCATCAAAGATGGATATTCCATATCGCACGGCACGCTATAAATATGTAGTGTCTTCTCGAGAACCATGTGCCAGTTATTTGACTTTCAGATGCCACAATTTCTATAGTTAAATTCTATACAAGTACAATATAAAGCGACGCGACCTCGAAGCTGGGAGATAAAAGAACGCTCTTTTTCAGATCTACTACATAACATTTTCATTGCCGACCTTACTGTACAAACATGTATTAAAACCACTAAAGAGTTTCTCTCGCGCGAAGTACAAAAGTCGAAAACGCTAATGTGAACAATAATTTCGCTTTTAGCATCTTAAAAGAAAGCAAAAACGTTAGCGATAAATTACTACAACTGCACTTTCACAGACGATTTCATTTAATGCCACCTTCGCATTTTTTACGACAAGCTCCACGTGGTCGGCTCCGAGCACTGATGCCAAACAAGACGGAATAACTGCAACCTTCGAACCAAAGTAGAAAAAGGCAAGGTGTAAGTAAGACAACGCACTAAAATAGATGGAACATGTCGAACTCTAGAAGAGAAAAACAACAAACACAACAACCTTAAAAGTCAGAAGTCCTGCTGCTGCTGCTGGCAGTCCATTAGCCAAGAAGTCAGCGACGAACGAATAGCACAGGCAAAAGTAACATTTTAATGTGCAACTAAAGGTAATTGCATGGAAAATGTGAAAGGAGCATAGTCAATGCATAAATTGGTTGAAAGAGGTGAGAGTCAAAACCAAACAGTGTACAATTAAAAGGTGCAGGCAAAAAAGAGAACGAGACTTAAATTGGCAATTATTTGATGTATCCTTGATTATTTATCGGCAGCAAAATTGCATTATTTTTATTGTATTTGGAACAAGATGGACTACGAATTATAACACAAAAATCATCAGTTCGAAAAAAAACTTATGATTTAATGGTTTTTGTTCGAATAAAAAGTTGAAGTCATGTAAGTTTCTATTTTTTTTTTTGTTTTAAGTTTTTGTTTTGTTTCAAACTTAACAATATTGAACTCATTAATTTTTAGCCATTACAGCGACATGTTTGGGCCTTAAATACCAACATTGCATAAGCTAATAAAATCGATATATCTTTTTTCGTAAAGGCAAACCACCCACCACACTATCGCATCAGTTCCACCAAAAGTGCGCCCTAACCGCCACGCCGCATAATCCTCACACCTTTTGCGAAAATATGGCAAATTCAATAATCGATTATGTTCGACAAGTGTATCCTTTCCTGGACATGTGTCTGTGATGAGCGCTCACACCGGAAACACCGCTACACAGTTGGCGCCAGAGTAATTTCGCTTTTTGTCTTCTAAGCAGCTCTCCATTTTGGCTTACTGTATTCATCGCCGCTTGACTAATGGACTAACTTTTGCTTGTAAGGCACATAAATCATATTGCAATGCACACGTGTGTGCCTGTGTCGGTGAGCCATGCTGCAGAGATAGCAATAAAGTTTAGTCGTACACGTATGAAAACGTCAGCCGGTCAGTCGGTGAGCCAGCTCCACCTTAACCATCAACGGACAGCAGTGCTACTTTCCTATCGTTGTAATGGCTGCATGTTTCTAGCGTCAAATAGCAGCAGTAACAACAAGCCATTAGTTCGATATCGACGACATCCGCAAACAGTTGCTTCACATAACGGTGCACACCAAGGCGCTCTTGCCTGCCCGGGTCACAGCTGCCACACTTGGACTGGAGAGATGTGCGCACTTCTCGTATTGCCCCTCGTTGCACACCTTGCCTCGGTGAGGCAAGCATGTAAGTGCGTGCCGTGTGTGTGGGTGCGGCACGGCAATATGTCCTGCGCTAATATGCGAGGAAGTTTTGCGCCAACACTTGAGTGAGGTTTTTGCTGACCAACGGTGTTTTTGGTCTTCGTACAGAGGCGCGGTAATCGAACGGTAAAACGGTGAGCTTTGTTTTTGCTAAAGGCATCTCTGATTGCTGCCCTTGGCCATGGCTGCTGCATGCCCTGCCTGTGCTCTTGTGACTACTGTCATAGATACTGCTGCACTGACAATATTGGCAGCAGCTGTTCAACATCCTTCGACACACACGCACACATTATTACACGTACATATACATTTATATAAATCTGCTAAATCTGCTCTTGATAGTCAGTTACAAATGTTTATGGCCCTTTGCCTTGCTTGCTGTTAAGCGCAGAGAATTAATATTTTCGCAAGGCATACGGATATTGAAAAAGGTGTACCGACATTTTGGTGTCACAGATAAACCATTTCTTTGTTATCGAGTTTAGCTTGTGTGAGTTGAAATATGTTTAAAATGTTTCGGTCGTCATAAATCCCACGATTAGAAAATCGTAGTGTCAATGAGGGATTACAGAAGAACAACTAGTAATTTGTATAGAAAAACAAGTAGGAAAGTGCTAAGTTCGGGTGTAACCGAATATTTTATACTTTTGCAACTTGCAAGAATCAAAACCCGCGCAATTTTTTTCAGGCGCTGGCAAAACTTTATATAAAACAAGTAAGGAAGGGCTAAGTTCGGATGTAACCGAACATTTTATACTCTCGCAAAGTCAAATAGTATACTCGTTTGAGATTTCTTTGTGGATTGGCTGATATTTTCGGTAGAAGGTCAACTATAGGTCCACATATTTAGTACTTAGGGGTTTGAACAGTTTTGGTTCGATTTAGACAATTTTTGGCCGCAAGGTGGCATACTTTAATTGCATTATTCACGCAAAGTTTTACCTCGATATAATCATTGTTACCTGATTTGCATAGTGGAAAGTGAAAGAATCAGATGGAATTGAAAATGGTGTTACATGGGAAGTAGGCGTGGTTGTAGTCCGATTTCGCCCATTTTTGCACTGTGACATAGAAACATGAAAAGAACGTATGCACCGAATTTGGTTGAAATCGATTAAGCAGATCTCAAGATATGGGTTTTCACCTAAAAGTGGGCTGTGCCACGCCCACTGTCTAATTTTGAACGCGGTTCCTATAAAGTCATCTCATACCATCCCAGAGATAAAATTTAATGACTCTGGCGTGTTTAGTGCTTGATTTATCGCGCTTTTAGTAGTTTTTAACAGTACCGTTATATGGGGAGTGGGCGGAGTTGCCACCCGATTTCAACTATTTTCACACCGTCAATAGAAGTGCTAAAAACATTTGCTTCCAGTGAATTTTGTTATTATAGCATTAGCGGTTTAGGAGATATGCACATTAAACCTATTAGAGGCGGGACCACGCCCACTTTTTTAAAAAAAATTTTAACTGCGAATGCCCCTCCCTAATGTGATCCTGTGTACCATATAACAGTCTTGTATCTTATTGCGGAGCTTAGTTATGGCAAGTTATTTGTTTTTGATTAATGGCGTTTTGTGGGCGTGGCAGTGGTCCGATTACGCCCATCTGCAATACCAACCGTCTCACGGTACCATGAAACATGTCTACCAAGTTTCATAAAGATATCTCAATTTTTACTCAAGTTAGAGCTTGCACGGACGGACGGACAGACGGACAGACGGACGGACAGACGGACGGACGGACAGACAGTCACCCGGATTTCAACTCGTCTCTTCATCCTGATCATTTATATATATATAACCCTATATCTAACTTGATTAGTTTTAGGTGATACAAACAACCGTTAGGTGAACAAAACTATTATACTCTGTAGCAACAGGTTGCGAGAGTATAAAAATTGTTACGAATAGGATCAAATTTGATATATTCTTGACTTATATCAGCTTACCCTCATTCGTCCACAAATCAGTTTTTCCTGAGTGTCTTCAAGTAATTTGCATCAATAATCAATGACTCGCAGGTCTTTACAAATGCATACGAATAAGTACAACAACAACACTAGCAGCAGCAGCAACAACACGCATTTGAACACGCCACTCCACCAGCGGATTCAATCTGTTGGCTCATAAATTTAAATATGTCGACCACATTTTTGGTTCATAAATCATTTCCAAGTCATTTCTCAGCGCCAGTCGGCCAACAACAAAGCGCCGCCACGGGCAGTCGGCAACAAATTGGCGGCTTTTCACAGGTGAGTGCATGAAATTGAAGTGAATTCATGTGAAATGCGCGAAAAGCCGCGGAAATGCATGAAAAATAAAATTATCGGCAATGAATTGCAAATGATTTGTGAGGGCGCCGGTAAGAAAAATGGGCCGCCGAAAGAGCAGAGCAGCATTCTCATATAAACGCAGGTGGAAGTAAGACAGAAAGAGGATGAAAAAATATGGGGAAACATTTTATTCGCTTAACGGTTTTAGTTAAATTTTATGAGATTTCGACGACATTTTTTATGCCAGCCGACTCGGTTTTAGTTCGCCTTTTTTATTTTAGTTTTTTTTTTGTTCGTTTGCTTATCAAATTTATCGCTGCAACTAGAATGGTTGCGCGCACGCGAAATTTATGCCCGCCGCACACGGACCCGCCAAACTAGGTGACAAAGTGGGCACTTAGGGAAGAAGCAGAGCGCTCAGCAGCGGTAGGGACTGACAGTCAATGTGACAGGCTGACTGCAAGCCGCGACCGACAAGCCACATGACAGCAGTCAGCCGTGTTAGCGGATGCCACGATAGATGGACAGAGATAGATGGACGAGCGAATGAATGGTTAGACAATTCCGGAGGGCAGGTCGCGTAGAAATGGCGTAGTTAGCGCTGTTTGCAGAGCTGTGAGTTAAAATTTACTCGACTTTTGCACTAACACGCCAATATTTCAGCGGTGAATTTGTTAGAATGCGCAAAGCCACGGCAGTGTTTTTGTTGAAAAGATGTATTGTTGTTTCGTCGTTTTTCGTCAGCAGTCGGTGAGAGCATATAAAAATTGCAACAAAATACTTCAAATCGTAATTCTACGTTTTTATGTACAGTAACTAGGTTGAGGAACTGTGTGAACAGTCATGAAGAATTCTATGCGTGAGCGTATAAACTCTGTGAAGTATACATTGAAGACCTATCGAAGTTGAAATAGGAAACTATACTTAGTGGAAAGATAGATTTGGTAAAGGAACGGAAAATAAATGGCAGTGGGGATACAAAAGGATATTAAAGGAAAGAAAAACAGAGGAAGAAGGAAAGGAAAGGAAAGGAAAGGAAAGGAAAGGAAAGGAAAAGAAAGGAAAGGAAAGGAAAGGAAAGGAAAGAAAAGAAAAGAAAAGAAAAGAAAAGAAAAGAAAAGAAAAGAAAAGAAAAGAAAAGAAAAGAAAAGAAAAGAAAAGAAAAGAAAAGAAAAAGAAAGAAAGGAAAGGAAAGGAAAGGAAAGGAAAGGAAAGGAAAGGAAAGGAAAGGAAAGGAAAAGAAAACAAAACAAAAGAAAGGAAATAAAACAAAGGAAGTAAAGGAAAGCAAAGGAAAGGAAAGGAAAATAAAGAAAAGATGAGACAAGAAAAGGAAAGGTAAGCAAAAAGAAATATCAATTACTAACGTGACACTGAAAAATAATAATTTTAAAATGTTTCAGTAAATCGGATTAGTTTTAGCAGCCACTGTATGTGGAAACACTCTAGCTCTTCCCCAAACAGGCTGGTGCAATATGTGGCCCAGTTGACTCACCAATTTAACTGCTTGCAACGCATTTCCATCAACATTCCGCAATAGGTACTCAATCTGATGTATGTGTGTGTATGCGCATTGAGGATTTCTGTACGTGTTAACAACTGCAACAGTAAAATTTAATTGATGTGCAACAATGCAGCAATGATGGTTGCATATAAAAAACGCAAAAAAAGTAAACAATTTGTACGGCAACAGCAACAGCAACA